GTGAGTGAGTCATTCGGTCAGTGAGTCATTCAGTCAGTGAGTCATTCAGTCAGTGAGTCATTCAGTCAGTGAGTCATTCGGTCAGTGAGTCATTCGGTCAGTGAGTCGTTGGGTCAGTGAGTCATTCGGTCAGTGAGTCATTCGGTCAGTGAGGCATTCAGTCAGTGAGTCAGTGAGTGAGTCAGTCAGTCTCTCATACGTTTATAAATCAAACTTATGATTTAAGATTGTTGCAATCATGCAGCCGTTATTAGAATCTAAACGTGCACTTCCTGTTTGGATTCTATGAGACGTTTCTGTGAACTTCAGGTGATCTCAGCGTGTGTAACAGTTTCAGTGATTTAAATCTGGTCTGCTTCTGTTTTATGAGTAACGTTTGGTGTTTGCTAACGGGACGTATGAGAGACGTCCGACGTTTACCCAGAATGCACAACATGTCACCTCATACCAGCTGTCAGCACAGTGGTGGGTGTTGATGGTGTGGGCTCGTTTAGCAGCAGCAGGACCCGAGTTTGATGCATAAAACCTCAGAAATAACAGAAGTTGTTCTCACGTTCAACTCCGACAGAAGAAGTTCAAAAAGAATTTAAAGTTTTGTTACCGTCACAAACTTGAAACTTTCTGCTGAACAAGATGGATGGAAGGCCTTAACCCTATGACCCGAGACCGAGGCCTCGCTTTGACCCAAGGGCAGCAGGAGGGTTCAACTCCACTCACCATGTTCCGTTCCCCGTCGTCCTCTCCTTCTCTGCAGCATCGTCAGCATCAGCCAGGCGCAGCTGCGTCACCTGACCACAAACACTTTGGAGCATGGGCAGGAGCTCGGGGCTCAGCGCCTGTTCAGGGCCACGCCCCTTCAGGAAGTGTGACATCATCTCCTCCAGCTGGGCGTGGCTCATCAGACCGCCGTCCTCACTGCTGGCTGGAGAGGGAGCACAGATGTGATCAGATAACATCTGTTTGAAACTCTGAGCCGACCCAGAACCTTCCAGGTGAGGCCAGTGGGTCCATGAACCGTTATCCTCTTCACCCCCCGAGAGAGACATTCATTCAACCTTTATTTATACAGATTAATCACATTGAGCCTCAGAGACTCATTTACAAGAGAGACCTGTTTGGACAAACAGACAAAAGAAAAATAGTGAAGTGGGGGGGGGGGGGGGGGGGGCACAGTGAGAGTTGAAAAACAGACCTCGCACTTGAACAGCACATGATGACGTCATGATACGTTTATGAGAAGGAGGCGGACAAAGAAAGAGAACATGACGACACTCACATGTGTTGTTAGAGCCGAGGTCGGACAAGGACAGGTCCGGAGACGAGGAGCCCTGGGACATCCCTCCGCTCTGAGCAGCCGCCACGTCCGCAGGCCTGACGGGCCCTGGAGCCTAAAAACACAACACTATTAAAAACAGCACGGGCCTGATCCAGACTCTTCTGTGATCTTTTGAAGTGGACCAGTTTGATTCTGGACCCGGTGTGTGCCTCCTCTCAGCTTGGGTCGTTGTTTCTGAACATCTTCAGAGGAACGTTTGAATTCACTGCAGTTTACTGATGAAGCACCAAGCCAGAGAAACATCTGAACCACACTTGAACACAGCAGGAAACATGCTCACTCCCGTCCTTCGCTGTCACAACAACTCGTGCACAGTCCATCGCTGCACCGGCTCCACGTGCACGATCCCCGTCACCCCACCCAGGCCTCCAGCTATGACCTCACTCCACCGAGGCCTTTGAGGAGGGAGAGGATTATGAAAGGCGACGGGCCCAGAGTTCCTGTCAGGGTCCGAGTCCGGTGTCAAAGGTCGGGGGGTTTATGGTCAGTGTTGGCAGATAAACTTAGGGTCAAAGGTCAGGGGGTTAGGTTCGGGTCGGGGGGTCCTTGTCGGGGTTCGGTTCAGAAACAAACTGGTACCGTGGCGTCTGCAGGCTGAAGCAGATCCCTGAAGACGGCTGCAGACGCTCCGACTCCTCCAGGCAGCGCAGAGAAAACACCACCGCCCATCAGGAGAGGCAGGAACCCCCCCAGAGCGCTCGTCTGGTTCTGGAAACACATTTCAGGACGAGTTTGAGCACAGCTCCTGATCACACCTTCACTTGTGATCCGACAGAATTTAGGTCGATAAAATAAAGTCAAAGATCAAAGAGGAGGAGGTTGAAATGCTCAGAGGAGAACATGCGCCTCTCTGAGACCCTCACCCTCTGCTGGAACTGCACCATGTCCATGAGATGTTGGGCTCCAGGAGACAAGCTTGTCCCCATCTCCTCCACCAGACTCTGAACCTGCTGCAGGTCTATGCCGGGGCCACGGACCGGACCGGCCTGCAGCTCCTGGAGGCCCACGATGACGCGACAAACCAGAACACTGGTTCTACCTGCCAGAGAGAGCAACTGGAGAGCAGCCAGAGGGACACAGAGGGACAGTCAGACTACTGAGGGACAGTCAGACTACTGAGGGACACAAAGGAACAGTCAGACTAATGAGGGACAGTCAGACTACTGAGGGACACAAAGGAACAGTCAGACTAATGAGGGACACAGA